CTATTTAGTTTTCATTAAAAGACCTGTTTAAACCTTGTTGTCCAGGCTACAGTCACTATGGCTACTAGAAGGCTTTAAAACATTTGTGTAAGAAATTCACAAAGAATGCAGCCATCTGTAGCTAATTTGTTGTAAACCAAATCAAAGAGAAAGTAGAAGACAATACATTTTCAGGTGTCACTGGGCACACTAAGCCCTCTCATTTGGTCATCCAGTTTACCATACAGTATGTTACCTAATGGTTTGAGCACCCCCCTGTTTGAGTGTCTGCACAGCCCTATAGGGTAGCAGTCATGAAGATAAGTTGAAAGCCAAAATCTCATTGGCTGAAATATGGAAGATCACCTGGTAGAGATAACTAACTTACTTGGGAATAGACCTCCTAAGTGTGGTTAATGTTTGTCCCATTTTAGACCACGTGGAATATGTTTGATTTCTATAACCACTGCACGAATATGGATGAAAGTAATACAATGGGTTGTACTCCCAAAAGTCATGAAATGGGACAAATGTTACTCAAGGCAAGGTGATTGATTGAATAAACACAGTTAAGTGAAAAAGTTGTCGGTTTTAAAAGGTTACATCATCAGAGGCTCTAAGACCAAAGGGAAGCATGAATAGGAGACAAATGGTTACGCTAAACATCACTTGCCTATATCAATGTTTAAACAGGTGCCTAGAAACTGACTGTACTAAAATAATCTTTGCATTTCAGAAACTCTCTGCTGTTATACTTGCAGTGGGAGACTTTCCCTGTGAATTTGAACACTGTTCCTACTGTGAAATTTAAAATTYTAGTACTCACAATTAAAACAGAACCAGCATCATCGCATCTCATTAGGACATTAGGACTTTGTGATGCAATCACGAGGATATATGTACACATCCCACAGTAAATGATGCTGAGGATGGTAATGAGGATTGTAGATTTTGTTCTCATTAATGGAAAGAAAAGGCACGTAACTGGGTTGGCAATGTTGGACAGRGTCAAAGTCAAATGGTATATGTAGTAGCTGTATGGTATACAAGAGTATGATTGGATAGCAGGGATGATACCATTGCTAAGACCATTTATGATAGCCAGAACTATAAGCAGGTAAATGTTTTCTTTCATTGTAGACTGTATTATTGGATTATTCACATAATGTTTACACTGATGTTGGTTTTCATTGTTTGGGCTCTGTAACTCATACACGTCACTTGTAGATATAGATATTGATGTATTTTTAACTTTTTGGTTTTTCGTAACAGGGAGAAGATTGAGGCACAAGAAAGCAACACCACACATCACCATCATACCCGTCAAAACCCAGAAAAACACTTCAACAGAGAACTTTGGACCTGGCCCCCAACTTTGTGATGTTGAGTTTGTAGAGTTTGACACATTGACAACAGGAACTGCCAAGCAAGGTGAATGGGTAGCTCCCTCTCCAACTCCTTGACCAAGTGCTACCAAACTAGGCAAAAGTCCACTCAAACCCTCGCCAAGGAAGTATGGACTTAGATAAACTTGACGTAGTCTCGCCATGTAGGGAACAAAAGTCACTGAAGACGTRCAATCRACMRWTGCYARYAWAAMACAAAGTGCTAGGAGAGCRATACTTCGCTCTGCGCCRGCTATATAGGCTGTTTCTTTCCAAAACAGGGCAAGCATTGCACATGATGCAATTCCAAGTAGGATTATAAGATATGAAACTGTAACTTCATTAACCTTTTT